ATGGAATAAACTAAAATTTAGTTATTTCAATTATATTAAATGAACTTTTAAATTAATTGGTCCAAACTCTCCTATTTTGTGGCTGCTTGTTTATGGTATTACCAGTTGTTGATTCATTAATAAACTCACAAATTTAAAATTGAATTTATGAATGAATAAGTGTTATTTTAATATAAAATTTTGAAATTAACATTTGAAAAAAATAAAAAATTTAAATGTATTAAATTGATATAAATAATAGGTTAAAACCTCATTTTGGTCCCTAAACTATTGTACCAACAATTTGGTTCTTGAACTAAAAAAATTTCTAATTTAGTCCCTACTATTTACCAATTTTACCATAATTTGGTCCTTCTGTTAAAACCCACCATTACCTCACAGAACTTTAATGACATGTCAAAATTTTGATACACATTAGTTGTACAAAGGAATAAATGATGACATGGCAACATGATATGTCGTTTTCTTGCCCCAACACAAAAAAGTGAGACCCATTAAAATTACAATTTTGCCATCATCTTCTTCCTCCAACAAACAAACCTAACGCCTAATCGAACCCACCAAGCGCCCTTTTTTTTCCTTCCTCTTCCTTGCCTTGCCTTCTTCATCCATCAATGTGTGAACCCGCAAAAAACCAAACCCACAAAAAAAAAAAAAAAAAAAAAAAAAAAAAAAAAATTTTTTTTTTAATTTTTTGCCCCCAAGTTCGATGAACCCGCACCTGTGTTCTTCAAACCCACACTTGGGTTCCTTCAAAGAACCCAAGCCTGTTGGGTTGGTTCTTCGAAGGAACCCAAGCGCGTTGGGTTCTTCGAATCCAAGCTTGGGTTCCTTCGAAAAAACCAAGCGTGCTGGGTTCTTTGAACCCATGCCTGGGTTCTTGAACCCAGCGGTGGCTGTTGGTGTTTGCCCTCTGCTCTTCTAGGGTTTGAATGGGAAGAAGGAGAAAAGATAGTGATTTTGGCAAGAGGTGAGCCCCACGTTTTTTTTTTTTGGCTGAAATCTGACGTGTTTTAATGACATGTTACCTTTTTTTCATGTGTATAGTTGATGTGTCATAATATTTTGACATGTCATCATTTCCCATTAATTAACGGGACATATCATTGGATTTTTAACAAAATGACCAAGTTGGGGCAAAATCGGTAAACAATAGGGACTAAATCAAGAATTTGTTTAATTCAAGGACCAAATCGAGGGTCCGTACAATAGTTCA